AAGATTTCCTCCATAAAATTTTTAAAAGCTTTTACAGTATGAAGCACATTCTAAGTCTCCTACCAGCACATCAATCTTTATTTTTAATACGCAAATGCCTGCACATACCTATATTTATGCACATTTTCCGATCATCATCTTTTTTCAAAAACAATGATTTCATATCTAAAATTCAGGATAAATTTTAAATATTTCTAGAAAAAATTTTAAACAAAACTCATTCAATTAGTCACTTGCACAGCTGCTACCTTTTAAACTAGGCGGTTTAGATATTTTTCCACTCAATCTTTTATCCTTATCATCATTCGTATTATCTAGATTATCTAACAATTCTATGATTTCTTGCTACATATGCCCTACCGATCGTTTATTAGACGATGCTATTGAGAAATGGAAGGCAAACACACCCTTTAACACCGTATTACCTTCAATCATCACACACAAAAAATTTTTCACACCTTTAATCTCGAAATACCAAACAGATATATAAGTCAATACACCTTTAGATTGCATTCAACTCCTTCAATTATCTGATAGACTTGGTGGCCATGAATGGTTAGCCTAGTGCAACCTTGGTAATCTCTTATCAGATGAACAATTGAGAATAACCATTGGTTTACGTCTATGCGATATAGTACAGCCTCATGCCTGCATCAAATGCAAACGTTGATTCAAAGGGTAGACATGGCTTAAATTTTATTTTTAATCAAGGGTATCATGTTTAAAACATTTAAATATCACACAATGTAACTTTATTATCTTCGTAAAAACTTGTATTATTTTCTTTATTTTTTCCTCCTATATTATAAATATATTGCAAAATTAGTTGGAAATTTTACAGGTCACAAAGATAGATAGATTAAAAATAACACACCAAAACTAAATAAGTAAAGGTTATATTTTATTAATTTGTAGAATGTTTAACATTTGTAGTAATGAAGATGAAATTATGGAGATAGGTTCTTCTGAATCAAATCCGAATTTTAAAATTCTAGGGAAAATTTTATAAAGTAATTCATGTGAAAAAGGACAAGGTACAAACGGAATGTCAAAATTGAACAAGTAAAAAAGTTATTAAAGGTTCAACAAACTCTCTACAAACTTTGTTAAACATATTAAAGTATATTATACATTTATTAACATATTCACTCAATAAATTATGGAACTCAAATATAATTTCAAAATTCATATCTTCAAAATCTATATACTATCATCCCTAACCTATGGTATTGAAATATGGGATAACATCAAATCAAACCTAAATAACCCCTAAATTTTTATTAATAAACGCCTTAGAAATATTCTAAATATTAAATATCCCATTATTATATCTAACACAAATCTTTGGGAACTTTATCAAGCCTAAATAAAGCCCAAATTTTTATTAATAAATGCCTTAGAAATATTCTAAATATTAAAAATCCCATTATTATATCTAACACAAATCTTTGGCAACTTTGTCACATACTTCCATTAAACATTTCATTAAATTATAGAAAAATAGAATTATTTTGTCACACCCTAAGACATAACCATACTAGTAGAGGTGGGTGCGGGCCATGAAATTAGGCGGGCGTGAGTGTGAATAAATTTTGAATTCAAAGGCGTGACAGGCCTTCCCAAAATTTGCCCCGGGCGTGATCGGGCATGAACATAAATTTCCCGTGAATCACGGAAATTTTAATTTTTTAAATTGTTTTTTTTATAAATAATTTGCAATTTTTGCTTAAACTTTTTACAGAAAAGTCAGTTATATTTTATTTATAAAGATCTTCAATCTTTAAATGCAACAGAAAGTGAAGGATTTTACAAATTAGGCCAAGAGATAAATGTTGGTGTTACATATAAACAACAAAATATAAAAGTTGTTAACAGGAAAATTCTCATGTCCAAAAATATACCATTAAATAAAATTTAAAATTAAAAGCATTATTAATAATAATTACTTGTCCATAATCACTGATATTTGGACGGATGACTATAAAAATCTAAGTTTTTTAACCATTCTAGGACATATTATCATTAAGGATTTTAAATTAAAAACATTTGTTTTGGCCACAAGGGCAATGGATGAAAAACACGTCAAAATAATAGTGTAATCAATTCAATTTTAGGAGAATATACAGAAGTAGAAAATACTTAAATAAATGTGTTGTGAGTGATAACGGAGCAAATCTTATAAGTGCATTCAAAGATGACGAAATGCTTGCATGTATATGCCATATACTAAATATATTAGGCATTATATTTTTGACAATTGTTTAATTGAAATAGCCATAAATATAAATGGTGTAAAAAAATAGTACAATATTTCAAACAATCTACAGCTTATAGCAAAATAACTAGATGGAACTCTGTATATCATGATACAGAGTTTCTTAAATACAGGTGTACTTGTTTAGTAAGCAATAATTAAATAGATTAGCCACAATTGATACAGCATCATACGCGAGTTAGATAAAATTTTTATCAATATTTAAAGAATGCTCGGATAATCTGAGAGCAGATTCTCATCCCACAATAAATGAAGTTTGTCTATGCAAACAAAAATTAATAAAATTTTGTTAACCTTCTGAACGTGATACAAAAATAAGCAAAACCTTAAAATACAGAACAAGATTTCTTTTAAAAGATTATTATGCAGCCACTACATAAGGTAGGCTTAATTCTAGATCCGAATTAATAAAAAAAGAAAATGATATATATAAAACAATCTTAAAAATGAATTAGATGATATGCATAAGTCAATGCCAACTATCATTTATAACTTTCCTAACTTATCCTAAACTAAAAAACCGTATATTCTAAATGGCCAATACTAACTATCACTTTCCTAATTCATCCTACACTCATAAATCACAGTATATTCTAAATAAAAAATTTAGAGAATTTCTAGATGATTCTGATGAAGCATCAACATCACCGATGAAAGCTGTGAGGATGAACTTAAAAGATTTATATAAGATAAATAACAAGACAATATTTTGAAGTTTTGGAAGCAGGAATATTCATTTCCTTTTTTGAGAAAATTATCGAGTAAAATTTTGTCAGCTGCAAGTTCGGCTTCTAGTGAAAGGTTATTTTCTGTAGCCAATCTCTTATTAGAGGAAAGGCGTACACAATTGAAATAAAAAAAGATGGACATTCTTCTTTTTCTAAATAAATTTCGATTTATAGATTGTATGTTATTAATATGGATTATGAAATTAGAGAAATAAATAGAATGATTTCAAAAAAGTGTGAAATTATAGCAATAGTTTTGAAAAATTTAAAAACATCGTGAATTTTCGGGCGTGAATCAAAATATTGCTTGTCGTGAGCGGGCGGGTCGGGAATTTTTTAGTGGTAAGCGTGAAAGGGCGTGAATTTTTTTATTGCCACCGTGAGCGGGAGGGCCGTGAATAAAAAATTAGACCCGCGCCCACCTCTACATACTAGTACAATTACTAAAGCTTTAAAACACAAATCAAAAAATTATAAAATGAATATTTTAAAACTACTATTTTATTAAAGAATGATGTCAACAGCCTTTTCCTAATTAATATCTCTCAAGACAAAAAACAATTAAAAGAATGGCTAAACCAAGCCACCATAATCTAAAAAAATAAATATATAAACAAATAATAATATATAAAAAAATAAAATAAATATAAAAAAATTATATAAATAAATAAACAAAATATAAACAAATAATAATATATAAAAAAATAAAATAAATATAAAAAAATTATATAAATAAATAAACAAAATATATATTTTTTTTTTCATATCAATAACATTAATATCTCCCATTTACTTTTTTTCCCTACTTATTCTTTACTACTATCTTTCAGTGGATCCTAACTTATCTACGAGAGGTACCATCATTCCTTTTTTATTAAATGGGCCCTGACAGTAGGATAAATTACTGCCAAACAGTGGATGCAAATTCACTGCATTGGATACGCCTTAATTGTGTGTTTCCCCAGTGAAGGACAAGACAAGACTAAAAAATCAGAAGAAAAAAATGAAAGGGGAGCATACTATAAATGTTCATGAAGTATGTGCTTATAATACAAGAATTATGCATTTTACAAAGTGGTGAGCAAAATATTTTATGTGATATCACAAATTTCAGATATAAATCTAGTTTAATAGCAAATTATGTGGAAAGCAGTAACTTCCATAAGAAACAATTAGGTTCCTGCCTTAAGTTAAGGGAATGGGCTTTGCTCACCATGCCCATTAATAGAAGTGACACTTTACTAACAATTTCTTTTTCAGAAAGAAATTGGTCAATTTGGGTTAATATTTTTACTAAAACAGAAACCAATTGAATCTCAACAAGAAAATTGATTAAAAAATGTTAAAGAAAATGATATTGAATTTATATCAGAACAGCAAATATTAGTTATTGAATGAAAATGATTAAAAAATATTATAGATTAATTTAGCTATTTCTAAAATAAAGTTAATATTGTCTTAAAAAACACTTATTTGAATTTAGCTATATTTGACTGGTAAAATGACCAAATCATTTTAACTGATAAAATACACAACCCTGATTAAAACCATTAGCTTTTTATCAATAGTAAAATAAAATATTATGGAAGTTCATGAAAACAAGTATTTATCTTTTAGAAAAAAATAGAGTGAGCTAATTTTAGAAATATTAAAAATTCTCAATCTGATAATATTTCAAAAAAGTGTCTAGGAATATAACCAATTCATTATTTGAATGACAAAATTAAAATTTGAGTATATTGAATGGAATGCATATAAAAAAAATTGAAGTAACTACCTAAAATTATATAGTAACTAGCTTTTTTGAAGATGAATTTTATTTTTTCAAGGCTTATAGTTTAAAGAGGTATTCAATAAGATTAATAAAAGTGATGGTGATTGAAATATTTTAATCTATTTATTACTATAAAAATTCAAATAAACCATATTCTTATATTTATTAAAATATTAAAAGAAATATAGTTTGGATTTATAATTTCAAAATTATAAAACATCATATTAAAAATTGCATTTTAAAAAATTATCAATAAGTTATTATGCATATATTAAAATTATAAATGAATGGTTATTTTTTTGAATAATTGAAATATATATTTTCAAATATGTCAAGATATAATTTTGTTAAATGTTTTTTTAAAAGTGTATGTAAACATTTTACGCAACATATATAGCCCATGATTTCCGCCAGGTATGATATTGATAACATATAAAATAAGGCTAATAAATTGTATGATACAAAAAATGATGGTTAATAATGTGCTTTTAAGCCAAACTGCTGAATATATAGTACATAAAGAGGTTATTATATATATAATAAATATTACATTAAAGCTTTTAGAATTATTTAGGTTTTCAGTAGGTGTGGAATTTATAGGCAAGGTTTGTTGATTATCATCAGATTGTGATAATAATTTGTATCCTTTATTTAAATAGAATTTCATATGAACAAGAGTCAAAGGATTAATATTGATACAATTTGATTTGCTTTTAAGCCCATTGGTTAGAATGATAATACTTAGACATCCACTAAATGAGCTTAAAGAATATAATAAAGCAAATTTACGAGCTTTCAATATTAAAAGTGGGATATACATACAAGACAGGAAAAATAATAAAATAGAAAAACATAAAAGGCACATTGAGATAATTAGTCTCTCTTTTATGGATATGGTTAAAAAACTAAATATATGTTTATTTTTTTGGATTCCAGGTTCAATATCAATTATAGTCTGATTCTGAGGGTTATCAAATAGATTATTCATTGATGTTGATGGGATAACATTATATTTTTTGACATTTGAAATTATCGTTCCATTTAAAACGTTCTCAAAAACTTTAGTAAGAGAAAAATCTTTACTACATTTGTTTTTATTCAAATATTCCATATTCTTTGTAAATGCATCAATATCTTCCATTTTTTCTCACGTATTTAAAGCCGAATTTTAAAATGGTTAATAAATTTATGGAAAGTGCTAACCGTTATCTCAGTCGACAAATAGTCATATTAAAGTATTTTTATTTTTCAAATATAAAAAAGCAATATATCAAAATGTTTTTTTTAAAATTTTGTGATTTCATTGTAAAAGATTTTGAATGCAGACAAATCAAAAAATTTATCTTTGGATAATATATAATAGAAAATCGTGCTTGATGTTAAAAAAAAAAATATTTGTTTGAAAATCACAAAATTGAAGATTTATTTTAAGAAGTACAAAATTGAAGATTTTTATTTAATTTGTGATTTTATCACGAAAGATTTTTCTGAATAAAAGTCATAAAAGAATTACTTATTGTAGATTTCTTATAAAAAATTTTTTTAATTTTAAGTAAAATTGATCAAAAATCATGTTTGAGCTTTCTCAAAGTAATTTTCAGGGTGAAAAATCTTTCAATGTAATAGTTTGACAGTCGAGTCCAACCATCGGGGAAGGGGAGAGATCGACTGAGTTGAGTGGTCCGGGATTGGCGAAGAATGGGACTATTGGATCGGACTTAGCGGGCATTTTTGTCATTGTACCCAAATCCAGACGCAGGTCGTTTAGAATAAAATAAACCACCTCATATTCATGCACGGTTATATAGTAAAATAGAGAATTTTATTTAGTTGAGAATAATCGCTTCCTAAAAAGTACAATCCAAATAAAATACATTAAAATAATATAGAATAAATTAATAGTTACATAAGGAGTGAAAAAAAAAATTATTTAAGGACTTATAATACTTTTTAGGGGGTCCTTATATACTAAACATTTTCCAACAAATCAACAATAAAAAAATCTATTGGCATATTGCTAAAATATTTTTTTCCATGTAATGGCCAGTCTTGAAACTGCATAGAACCAGTTTTAAGTGAATAAAATATAAAAACAAGCTTTGTCTATAATGACGATTAGGGTAAAACAAAATAAAGTATAATATTGTTTTGAGTTTAAACAAAAAAGAAAACATATAATAACACTTTTTCATTGTTTATAGTACTGTTAAACACAACAGTTATAAATCAATCTTAAGGCGAATCCTGATTGAACATTTTCAAATTCTCACTGAAATTTATTTAACCTAAGTTAGATATCTCCCAACCAAAAATTAATAGTTTAAAAAGGTTGAAAATAAAGAAATCATAGGAAATTTGAAAGGGGGTGAAAATTAAAGATGAGAAATTAAAAAGAAAGAGTATAAAAGAGGGTGAAAAATTCTTGATTATATTTTAAAAAATTGGTTGGAGTGTAAAGGAAAATTCAAGTTGAATTAAAACTAGAATGGAGTCGGATAAATTGGAAATCAAAATATTAAATAAATTTTGTAACCGGGTAGATAAATTAATAACTGAAGTTAATGCTACTACTTAGTTAAGAAGATTCAGAAATTTAATATAATAGATAAAATACTTAAGCAAAAAAAAAAAAGATGATGGGCATAATTTGGGGAAAAAAGTAAGTATGAACTGTGGCAGTGATGTTGATGTGCATAGGGTAGGGACAAAAAAATTGAATAAAAAAGGTACCGAAGATCTTAAGGAAGTTACCACGTAATCGTGGACAAAAAGCCAGCTATGAAGGAATAAAGAATGTGGTAAATGGTATAAAGAAAATAGAAGATCGAGGACAAAATTTTTTTTTTGATATATGTATGTTTTTCATATATTTATATAAATCATACCCCATATAATCCATCTTGTTAGCTTCAGATAACCCAATAATTCGATTATAACCCAGACAATGCGATAATGAAAAATATATATAAACTAGCATTATCGACCTTAAGGAATCATCTAAAAAAGAAACAGTTAGAAATTTCAGAATTTTTATAAAAATGCTTATATTCGAGATCTGTAACAAGTTTTAACCTAAAAGCCTTGCCAACCTAATATTTTCAAATTTTTTGACCAGCTCGCCTATGGTTTTTTAAAAAATACTAGCTCGTCATTTAAAAATCTTGTTTAACTCAAGCTGGTTCTTTTCATTTTGTCCTGAAAAATTTTTAATACACCCGTCTGCTCATTTTTTTGAAAAATAATTTTAACCTATTCACCTATACGCCCAATGTTTAAGTTTTTTAACCCGCCCATTACAGGCCTCTTGTTTATATATTAGGTTAGTTTTTATTTTTCAATTTTGTTTTTTTTTGAGCGATCATAACATATAAGGTTGTGGTTAGCGATCGATTCACTTTAACCTAGCTAAATGAACAAGTTTAGGAAGTTTCAGCCCTTTTTTTTTGTAGGTTAGTGCACCTTGTTCTAGTTTACATGTTGGCCAAGTAGAATCTAGCATTCGTGAACTAAATTGTTACTACTTTTGTAACCGCTACTGGAGAAAATTTTTTGGCTATTTTTAAATGAGTTTGATGTCCAAACATTATTCGCATTTGTATTTCTATACTATATAATCCCTATAAGCTTGGAACCAAACAAAAAAAAATATAATGGCTCAGATGGCTACCCACTTACCTTAATACAGGTTTTGAATTACTTTAAAAAAAAATTAAAATACACACAAATAAGTATAAATATAATGTTTACGGAACTCCTTCCAATATTTTGTGTGAATATCAGGAATTATTCTCCTGGAATAGTAATAAATAAAAATTATCGTAATAACTATAAAGTCATAACAATTCACATTTATTTCAGCCTCTGACTTTATTTATTAAGCTGAGACTAAACAGCTTTTGAAAGAAGACGTCCTATTTTGATTGTTTTAGTAATTTGGTGGCATTTTTATTTTCTCGTTTTTTTAAAATTTTTGATTTGTTTTTTATTTCTTTTTAGGCTGCTTGGTAGAAAGTAAATAGCTAGCTGTTTAATAATAAGTCGAATGAGGACACACCCTAAGCTCTTTATTATATCATTTTCTTATATTTCCCAAGTCCAATCAATTATTTATTATAATTTAAAAAAAAATTTTAACGGATTTTTATAGTCATTGTCGTAAACGATACTTATTTTAATAGAAGTGTCAATCATATTTTTATCTATGTTTTGTATTTAGTTAGAAAAATGTCAGTCATTTTTCAAATATTAGAAATTACCAGATATCATATTTTTGTGAAAAAAGAAAATCACTTTTTTTAATTTTTATCACTTTTAAAATTTTATTAATTTTTGATTTTTGTGACTTTTCAATTGTTGATAACCTTTTTTTTATTGAATAAAACCTTTTGAAATTATAATAATATTTTTGCGATTTTAATTTTTGACCCTTGTAAATTGATGAATATTTTTATTTAATAAAGATATAAATCCAAAAATTAGTTCGCGTGGCATTTAATTTATAAGTTTTAATTTAGTTCATTAATTGATAGTTTTCATTCTGAGTTGGTTCTTATATTAGAATTTCGTTTTAGTAATTTTTCGGATATAATTAACATTTGAACCTCTTGTTTCCTCGTTATTTGCGGTTTTTTGTCATTGGTGACCGAGACCACCAGGATTGTTTAGATTCCAGGGTTATTCGGTATTTCAAGGTAAAGAAAAAATATTTTATTTTATATTTTGTATCTCACCTCAGAACACAACGCAATCACATTTTTGTTTAAATTTTTTAAAAATTGAACAAGGCCGTTTTAAGGTAATATAAATTTTTCATATAATGAGATGGGCTTTATATTTAATTTTGATATTGAGCCTAGCGTATTTGATAAAATTTCGGAGTATCCGAGTATTACTTATCAAAGTTTGTATCAAATGGTTGATAAATTTGATGTAAATAATGCCGTAGTGACAATTTTATTGTTGGTTCTACTGTACGTGTTATATATTACAATAAAATTTTTGTTTGGAAAATGTACTCTGGGCGCGACTAGAGTATATGGTAATTGGAAAATAGACACTCCGGTGTCGGCTGATTGTTGGAAAAAGATTTCGGTCTTGGAAAGTAGTTTAAATGGAATTTTAAATGAAATCAAGAACGGCAGACCTGAAAAGGTGGAAATGATGAAAGATAATAACGATGATCGTTTGGATAGTGTGGAGAGATCTATAGTTATCCTCCAGGAATTGAAAGAATTAAAAGACATGATTAAGATTATATATCAGGATATGAATACGTTGGTTATGGCTAATAGTAATAGTAATAAAGGCCAAGTGCGTGGTCCGACGTGGACAGATGGAAAAAATATTTCCATTGAAAAAAATGGCTTTTCAGGTCATAAGAAAATTTTTGAAGATTTGAAATGTACCCGTTGTGGGTATGTGGGTCACAAGGTAGAGACCTGCGTAGTCAAAGAACAAAATTTTCGTGAAGGTTTTCCGTTAAAGAGATTGGCATCAGAAAATTTTAATGTTAGAAAAATTTCTGGTACTAACACGAATAAATTTGATGTTTTACGACCGAATTATGGCAAATCCCGTTTGTGTTTTAAATGTAACAAACCGGGACATGTAGCCATAAACTGTATCAAAAATTGACTATATGATTGCAAATGTAATCATATAGTAGGTAGGAGATCGGGATGGAAAAAAAATAATAATGTAAATAACCATGATAATAACCGAAATTTTTTAAATTATGATGATAAAAATAATAAAGATTCTAATGAATTTAAATGGGAGAAATATCCTTTGGGTATTGTTAAATATTCCGATGAAAGGAATATGAATATTTTCAGATGGGAAAAATATCCCAGTTATATAAAAAAAAACAATATGAATATTGTTAAGGAACCACTAAATTCCGAGTTGAATTTATGTTCAAATGAGAATTCTCATGAAACTGATGTTTCAGATGAGATTAATATTGATCCGTCAATTAAAACATATGATATTTTAATGACTGAAAGATTAGTCGAACCTCGTCCTTGTCCAAGAGTTATCGTAAGAGTTGACTCTAGGGATATTGACATGTTGTTCGACACAGGGGCTAGCATTTCTATAATGTCTCGAAGAAATTATTTTAAGTATTGGCCTAAAGGTAAGCTTGAGAAAGAAT